ACGGAGCGGTTTCACAGGGAGGTTCTAGAAGGTCCATTTTGTGAGTCTCCAGGGCATCTTTCAGGAGCAATGCCCTGTCGTTCCGGGCACCCTATTTCTCCCCTTAATATAATTTTCTCCCAGTAAGTATTCACAACACATCTTTTCTGCAAACAGAGGGATATCTTTCCTTCTATGGAAGACACAGAGAGGTCTCAGCCACGGTGCCTTCCCCGTGGGCAGCCGCCTGCCTGACCGCCGCTTCCTGCACTGCCCGGTGGAGGACGACTGGCTCCTCTCTCGGGAGGCAGCTCTGCTCTGGAGCGATCCCAACCGGCTCTGTCTGACTCCGGGGCTCCCAACCCGGCCAGCCTTGCCTGGGACGGTGCCGCAGCCACGAAGGCTTTGAGGTTGACACTTACTAGTATGAGCATTGCAACAGAAGCATCTTTTCTTTTTTCCCTGCCCCCTCCCAAGTCACAAACTCCAGAAACTTCCATTGAGGCAGACTTTGGGTCTAAGCTAGGGAAATTGGTGGAAGGAAGGAAGGAAGGAAGGAAGGAAGGAAGGAAGGAAGGAAGGAAGGAAGGAAGGAAGGGGAAGGGAAGGGGAGCTCCAGATTCTAATTACCATTGCTTTTCCACCACAGATGAGCCACTTTTCGAGGTAACTGGGGGTGGGAGGCTCAAGGTCCATGAGCACATGCAAAGGCAGCAGGGGAACGGGCCAGGTGCCCCCGTCACTGGGCGCCCTGTCCTTGTGCCTGGGAGTGGGAAGCTCAAGGTGGATTGTGTGTCTAACTACAGACCCTGTCTCTGCTCTGAGGGGCATTAGTTCCCAGAGTCCTCCTGCTTTTCCGAATAGAACGAACAGCAAACATGTAACTATTGTCTTTTATGTTATTTTTTTCTTCCTGTAGCTTTCCTAGTCTTGTCCCCCCCCCCCACTCAGTGTCTTATCTGACCACACCCAATGATGCTGGAGGGGAGGAATAATAATTCCCCTCTACCTCTAGGTCCTTGGCCAAAACCCTCCTATAATGAAAAGCCAGAGAAATGGAAGCAAAAAAAGATTTAATTACACACGAAAGTACGGCAGCCCCACAGAGACGAGACTAAGGCCATGACCGGAATAGGAAGCATTTGTACTTTTTAGACAGAGACAATAACTGTGCAAAGGGTTGGTGAGACCGATGGGCCTGAGCTGGGGCAGGAAAGTGGAAGTAACACAGTTTTCTCACCCAGTGTCTCAGCCCTCGGCTTCCTCTCTCTGGTGAGGATGGAGTCTGCCCTCCTGGTGTGGGGAGGGCACCTTCACCTGGGACGTCAGTCTCCTGCTTTCAGGGGGACAAAGGAGGCTCAGAGGTCCTTCTTGCACTGGCTGTTTCCCAACTACTTTTAATTCAAAATAATAGGCCATCGCGCCATCTTTTGGGGTGATGAATTCTGAACCCCTGCAGTGCTAAGTGCCGGATTTGAACAGAACGAGCAACCAACCCCAGGGCGGCTGGTGGTTGGGATATTGGCGGGCAGTTGGGAGAAACTGGCAGGTCCTCCCGGGGAGTGCCTGGAAGTGTCGGGGGGCCGGGGGGCTGCTGGAGGAAGCAGACCTCCCTCTTCCTTGTTGAATGTAGCAGGGGCTCTCAGGGGTGGGAACAGGCTCCTCCGGCTTCCCGCCACACGCTGGGGGACTTGAGAAAGGTTCTGTCCCATTGAGCAGTAACAGGTGGGGGGAGAATTTTAATATTTCTATTTACTCTGATTATCTCACGGCAGAGAAACGAATCCATACAGCAAACAACAGTAGTTCCCCCTCCACCTTATCCACGGCTTCAATTACCCACGGTCGACCTCAGTCTGAGAAATTTTAAATGGAAAGTTCTAGAAATAGCTCATAAATTTTCAACGGCACACCCTTTTGAGTAGCATGATGAAATCCCACCCCCACCCCGGGATGTGAGTCATCCCTTTGCCCACTGCATCCACTCTGGTTCTGGGCACTTTCCCCGTGAACATCGTTGCCACGAGCATTTTTGGCTGCACAGTTGTTCACCATATAACCAATTTTGGCCATGAGAAAAGATAAAATAGATAAGCTGCTTGACAGTTGTTTTTGTGTTTGGTTTCATTTCTCCATGGATGAATCAATCAACCACTGTCAAAAAGATAAAATAACCGGTTGACAGCTTGTTTGTTTGTTTGCTCGGTTTCATTTCTCCATTGATGAAGTTCCCACAGTTACCGCCATTTCTGTATTATATGTAAATCTCCGCCAGCCCACGCAATCGGCTGTACCGTTGAACAGTGACAAGAGGCGGCGATGGTCCCACGTAGCATTTCTTCCAGGTAGTGGTGATTCCCCCCAATAGTTGTTTTCTTAGTTTGCATTTTTATTTATTTGTTTAATCTTAGAGATTGGGAAAAGGAGGGAGAAAGAGAGGGAGAGAAACATCCATCTCCTCTGCACCCCTTCCAGAGACGGAACCCACAACCCAGGCAAGTGCCCTGCCCTGGAATCGAACCGGTGACCCTTCGCTTTGCGGGCTGATGCCCACCTGGGCCACACCTGTCAGGGCAGGAGATTTTTGTCTCTTCTGTCTCTGGCACTGACTGGCTGTGTGACGTTAGATCACTGGACCTTTTGGGTCTGTTTCTCATGTGTGACAGCAAATGTTCAGCCTCTACTCTGTGCACCAGGCGCTAGAGACTCTCTATCTGTTGTTAATTCACTTAGTTCTCGCCCTGCAAAGGATGTGATGTCTTTCTGGAAGTGTCCGTCGGTTCCAGTGTACCGCTGCACGATGGCTTTTTGTGACTCTGGGCATTCCAAAGAATCTTAGGTTTTTCTCTGGGCTCCAGAGGAACCAGAACCCGAGAGCCCCATTGCCGATGAGGGCCTTGTGTCCGAGCTTGGCCTCCTTGCAGAGAAAGGGAAGTCCAAAGGACTGGGCCACTAGGGAAAAGGGCACGCATGGCTGGGATGGGGGGAATGGACCCACCAGAGCCTGTCTGCTCCTTGAAAAATCTTTTTGGTGTCCTGGTACTGCAGGTTATTATCCTTTCCTGGCTGGGGGTTGTTAGAGATGCCCGGCCTCCCCCAGCCAGGGCGCTGTCGGAGAATTCTCAGCTTCTCTCCACCCATCCAAAGTCCAGCTGGAAATCCCAGCGGCTTATTTCTCATCCTGAGAAACCCCATCTTGCTAGTCAAGGGCAGCCCAGCAGGTGGCCTGGGCATTACTCCATCCCACTGGGTCAGGGGGCCCCAGCTGCACCAGTCCCCTCCCCAGGCTGGGGACAGGAGGAGTAAAGGGGAGGTCAGGAACCCTACAGGCAGAGCCCTGGGTTGGACCCTAGGCCTGTGTGTCTCACCATGCTGTCCCCACCTACCGGCCTGGGCCCCGCCTTCTCCAGAGGCCACAGTCCCGCCCTGCTGTGTGGGTGGGTGAGATTCAGCCTGTGGATATGCTCAAGTGGGTGTGTGGTCTTGGTGAATGTGACATTATGTGTCAGTTTACATAATTGTGTGTGTGTGGGGGGGTTGTGTCTTTGTGAAAGTGTGCATCTGTTTGTCTTTGGTCTCTGTGGCTGAGTGCGTGTGGAGTACGTGACTCTGTCGCCATGTCAATTTACACAATGGTGCTTGTGTGTGAACGTGTATTCAGTCACACGCGTACACATTCAGTGTGTGTCCGGCCTCTGGGGAGGAGGTCCATTGGGGGGTTGCTTCCTCCGGCCCTGATACCCTCCCTTTTACTTTTCATGATGCCCGGGCTGGTGGAACCCCAGCCCTATGGGTTCCCGGGTACTGGGGGTGTGGGATCCCCCATGACCCGGCCACCTGGTCTTCCTCTCAGGCTTCTGGCTGAGTTTTGCTCCTTGCCCTCCCTGCTAGGCTCTGGGCGACGTTGGGGCCGGCGGAGGCTCCTGGGGGCTTGGAAGGGCAGGTCTCGCCTTGGGCGCCTCACCCGAACACTGGAGCACGGTGGAGCTGCGCAGGGCAACTGGACCTCCAACTACTTTCTTCCACCCACGTCTGTTCCGCCCGAAGGGACCCTGCTGGTGTGGCTCTGAATCTCACGCTCCTCTCGCTCTCCACTGTGGCAAGGGTTTACATCCAGGGCTGTAACGCGAAAGCCCCTTTTGAGGGGACGTGGGACTCTGCAGGCAGGACTCCTGCGGGTCCGGTCCAAACCGCAGCAGTTCCCACCCTCTGCCGCTAGGAGGCGCCTCGCTCGTCCGCCAGCGGGCGTGTCTGCGTGTGCGTGTGCGTGTGCGCGAGGCTCCGTCCCCGGCCGCGGAGCCTCGGTGTCCTCACTTACAGCCCCAGGCAGCCCGAGACCCCGGTGGCAGCGGCGACGCCGGTGCAAATGCAGCGCGACCGCGTTAGCGCTCGGCGGTGGGCCAGCCCGCACGCAGCTCGCTGCAATGAAAAGATGCGTTAGTGAAGGTCCCGGGGAAACTGTTTATTTTCTAAACCCGACTTGTAAGGGGAACCCCGGTGGACAGGAAGGCCTGGAGGCTGGGAGGCAGCCCGCAGCCTGGATCTGAGCCCAGAGCCCGGAGGCCAGTCGCTCGCGTGACCCTGGCCCCGGATCGGTGACGGGGTCCAGGGCCCCGCCCTTTCTGCGATTCCCTGGGAACCCGGGAGCGGAAGCGGCTCGGCGGACGACCAGTCCTCGCTCCTTCTGCAAATGACACTTTATATCCTCCGGTTCCGAGGCGGGAGGGCGGCCAAGGGCAGCGTGCGCACGCCGGCCGGGGTCCCGCGGCGGCGCGGAGGCTCCGGGGTCCGGCGCGGCAGGTGCAGCCGGGGTCGGGGAGGATTTGCCTTCGCGCCGCTCCGCGCCCGCTGCGGCCGGCGCGCCTGCGCTTCGCCTGGCTGGGGCTGGGAGAATTTGGCGACGGTGCCCGCGCGGCGGCAGGTCCCGGCCCCGCCCGGGCCCCGGGGACGCCCCGCCCCCTGGCGCCGCCCGCGCCCGCTGATGTCCCGGCCCCGCCCCGGGCCGCGCCCCTCCGCCGAAGCCCCGCTAGCCGGCTCCGCGCCGCGGGCCTGCCCTCAGGCCCCCGCGGGCTCCGCGCCGCCGCCCCGAGACTCGCGTCCTCCCGCCGCTCCGGGGCCGTCCCGCCGTGTCCCCTGGGCAACCGTCTCCAGGGAGACCGGGCCCCGCCCCCGGCACCGACACCCGGTACGGAGCCCACCTGTGTGCGCGCCCGCGGGGTCTCAGTGCCCCCTCCCGCCGCACGCTCCGCCCCTCCCGGCGCGGGGCTTTGTCCGCCTGGGGCGGCCAGGGGTCCAGGGGCGTGGGCGCTGGGGAGGCGGGCGCGTTCCGGGGGCCGACCCGGCTCCTCCGGGGAGGCCGGGGCAGGGGGCCGCGCTCCGGTGTGGGCTGCTTCACGCGCTCCTCTCTCAGTCTCCTTGCATCCCTTTCCTGCCCCCGGGAGGGCCGGGAATGGGGGTGTCCCGCTGTCGCCCTTGATGGGATGAGCAGGGCCCTGAGCCGTTCAGGGCAAGCTGTTTACTTGTCAGGGACCCAGCAGTTGCTACGCGCGTCCTCCCCTCCCCCTGTCCCCGATTCGGGACGGAGCATCCTGCTCCCGGTCCATTCCTAGTGTCGCCTCCCAAGCTTTGCCCTTGAACCCGAAGGGCTAGAGGGCGGCAGACCCCGGTGCTGAGGTCCCCGCAAGCGTGAGAGCCGGAGCAGAAGACCCACCTTTCTCCCCGGGAAGATCCTCCTCCTTGGCCGCCCTCTTGTGAATTCAGTCCCGGCTCCTACTTCCTGACCTGAATTCCTGAGGACGGGATTCTTCCTCGCCTTCTCTAACTCTTCCCTCTCTCGGCTCCATCATGCCTGCTTTCTTTGTCTTTCCTCGACTTGAAAGTGCTTTCTCCACGATCGTGTCTCATTTTCCTCTGACTGAGCTGCTGGTTTTTGTTTGTTTGGGTTTTTTTTTTTTTTTTTTTTGGTCTCTTGTTAATTCCATTGATCATCAATGGAAGTTATTTCTTCCTCAGTTCTTGGCGCCGACCTCTCATTTCTCTGGTGGCAGTGCCTTGGGAAGCCCTTGCCATCGTCCCCTGGATGCGGGGTGAAGGGACCGTCCCCGCCCCCGTTCCTGGGCTGTTGCTGCAGGGTCCGTGGGGATGAATCCTTCCTGGAGCAGGCTGACAGCAGGAGGAGTTTCAGCTTGTCCTTGGGAACTGTATTCTTGGAACGGATGCCTTCTTCAGTGGCTTCCTAGCACTGGACTTTTTGTCTCCTGGAGAAACCTGAGTTTAGAAGCAGGAGGGGTTTCCTGCTTCTCAGGACCCCTCCCCAGACACGCCCAGTGGGCTCCAGACCAGAGACTCCCTGCGGTGGCGGTAGCTGTGCCCAGGGTTCTGGCTTAGGTGAAGGGGCTGGTCTTACTTCCTCTGATTTCCAGGAGTGGCCCACAGATGCCCTCCGTGGGCTGCCCCCTCCCCAAACTACCTTTTCATCTCCAGGGGCTGGGATGGATCTTCCTTTATGATGCAATTGGGGATCTTGAATGGGGTCCTCAATTTCAGGAACCTGCTTTTTGCAGCCATTGAATGGAACTTAAACCCGAGCTGGGCTCCAATCACTTACTTTGCTTTCAAATAAAAAACCAAACAAAACCAACAAACATCTCAGAAAATGCTCTGAGTCATCCGCATGTCTATACGTTCCTGCCTCGGGGCCTGGAAGCGCCCCTGCGGTTTGCTTCAGTGCCACCAAAGGGAGCTGGGCTGCTTTGCCACAGAGGGTGAACCGGGCCATCCGGCCGAATGTGATTGGTTTGCAAAAACAGCCTGGGTGAAAGAGTTGCTTTTAAGCTAAAGTTCTGTAAGAGAATGCACAGAAGGTTTCTGAGACTTTTTTTTCCTTTCTTTCTTTTTTTCCAGACAGATAAGGAGCTCTCAGAGTCAAGCAAGGGCGGAATGACGCTCAGTGATTCCAAAGCATCTTTAATCTGCCAGGTGGTGTGGCCTTTGCTGCTGGTCTTTCCTGGAACATTCCAGAGAGGTAGGCTGGGCAAAGGAAACCCGTGGGGTGCTGGGAGGAGAAGAGATGTCATTTGGTAGATAGGTGGAGATCTGAGTGTAGTCCCCTGCCCTCCCTGACCATTCAGCCAAAGGAGGACCTATCTGTAGGACTAGAGCCAGAAGAAAGAGAATGACCCAAATTTGTGCTGGGAGCCGATGAGCGGGAAGTGAACTAGACCTCAGCCAGCTTCCCACAGGAGGGACGCCTCTGCTTGGGAAAGGAAGGGCCGACTCTGCTCCAAGGAGCCCTGCGGCCCACTAGGAAGCTGCAACATTTGGTATTTAACTTGCTCTGGTTGTGGTGGCGTTGGGCTGGCCTAGTTGGGGAGAGAAAAAGTAAAACCTTCTCCCAAAGGAAGTGGGCTGAATATCGATAATTCAGTATCCTTGCCTCTCGAGGAGCCCTCACTGAGGACGTTCTGTTTCTACGGAAATTTGGCAGTCCCTGTATCAGGAAGAGAATGTTCCTTGGAGCTTCTAGAACATTAGCCTGGGAGATGAATGCAGCCCCTTCATTGTGCAAATGAAGAAACTGAGGCCAGAGACTGACGCTGGCTGGCCATCGGCTCAGCTCCCCTCTCTGGCCTCTGGTAGTACCTGGGTCTGGTTAGCAAGCCCCCGGGGCCGTAGGCCAGCAGCCCCCTTCACAAGCTCTATGGGCACATCTGTCTTCTGTGGGCACACAGCCCATTTCCTCCTTATCCACACCCTTGAATAGCCACCGTCAGTTCAGAATGGAAGAGGGTTGAGGTGATAGTGCAGGGTCATCCTGGGAGGCCACCCCACCCCATCAACCTCATTTTCTCTAGATCTTCCTTGGTACTTTCCAGACTTTTTTGTTACATGTGGATCTCTTCTAAGAGATCAAAATATTCAGCAGAATGCTGACCCATAAAGCAGGTAAAAGCAGACAGCCGTCATGGCACAAGCAGAGAGGCTGGGGTGATCGCCCTGCCCCAAGCCCCTCCCCCAGCCCCCCCCCCACCTCCCGCTGGATGCCTTGGGCCCTTCTGTGAGCCCAGGCCCTGGAGCAGAGGCCAGTCCTTGGCTCGTGTGGACCTGTCCTGTTGATTAGAGTTTCTTCTACACGTTTGTATACACCGTCTTGATTCTTGTTTCAGGAGATGTCTTTTAATGATCATTTTAACCCTCATGTGGTTGTATTTGTCAGAATACCTATTCACTGTTGAAATGTGCAAAATGGGAAAAGAAATTGCAAGTGTAACTTTCCCTTAACTCCACCCTCCAGCTGTTCTTTCCTTGTGGGAGTAGCGGGAATACCCTCCCACCCACCAGAGGGTCTTCTGTGTGTATCGTCTTTGGACACCTGATTCTCACGTATTGTTAAAGAGTATTACGGACTTCCACATAAATGTAACTGATTGAATGATATGTTTGCTTCTGCTCTGCTTCAAAAGCCCACTAAAATGAGAGTAAAGGGGTAGATCCTTAAGAAAATGGAAAGGATGAGAGGAGGAGGAGTATGAGCAAGAAATGTTGAATGATAGAAAACAGGTGGGGGAGAAAGAAGCCAAGCAGGGCACTGAGTGTCCCACGTTATGGGGAAAGCAAGCTGATATGTCCACAGGACTGCCCCCCCGGCCCCAGCACGAGAATTAGGGGCTACCAAGGACCTTGACCATGTTGGGGTGTCTTGACCATGTTGGGGTAAAGGGTGGCGGGAAGTGGGAAGACTGGTCAAAAGTGTGTGTTAGAACGACAGACCCTTGCTGAGTCCTTGGAGCCAGGCGGCTCCTGGCTGCACCCCAGCAGAAGACTCTGGGTTTTCTGCAGGTGCCTTGGACCAGAGCTGCCCAAGACCAGCCCGGGGCAGGGGATGCTGGCAGGAGGCACTAGACTGAGGACAGGGGGACCCAGTGCTAGCTGGTATACTGAGCAGAGGCACCCTTTCCTTGGGGGTGCCCAGAGCGTGGCAGCCTGAATTATTACCCCTACCCTCCAGGCCAGGGCTTGACCTTCTTTCTGAGAAAATTGACCTCATGAGAAAAATGACCCTTGGATGCTCACATTAATTGAGGGGTACCCTGTGGAAAAGCTATATTGCTACTTTGTCACTTCACAGTGACACCTGTTAGCAGCGAGCCCTGCCTGCACCCAGACAGCGTTGGGTGCCTGGCGTGTCAGTTTACGTGGGCAGTGGCAGATCGGCACACGGGATGGAGGCCTCAGCCAGGACTGAGAGAGACCCAAACAGCAGGAAAGAGGGGCCAAAGTCATCAAGCTGGTTTGGTTGTTTTTAAAAAAGAAATATTCATAAAACAGGAATAAGCTCTTAGATATAAAACTGTGATGTTAATAGTAAAAATTTCAAGAGGATAGAGCTGGAAGATTGAAAAATAAATCTCTAGAAAATATAAGAAAATTGGAGAATCACTTTGGGAGGCCCAATATCCATCTCATAGGAGCTCAAGAAAAAGGAGGGGTGGAGACCTGGAGGAGGGGAAGTTATCAAAGCAACTCCAAGAGAAAATCCTGGAACAGAAGGGGTCCCTGCAGGAGGTGCCTCCGAGTGGTGCTCAGCACAATGAGTAATAAAAGAAACACCACGGAAAAGAATGAGATGTACTACGGGACATCATCATGAACTTTCAACCCTCTGGAGATAGAGAAAAGTTACAAAGAGACCTCATACGGGAGATCGGAGAACAGGACGCACCGGACCCTGTGAAAGCGGTGCCGGAGGCCGCAGGACGACAGAGCCACTCTCAAATTTCCACCCGAAGTCAGTTCCCAACCCAGAATTCTGTAAGGGTCATTCAGGCAAAGTTACAGCATAAAGATATTTTTTAGACATGAATTTTCCAGACCAACCCTCCTTTCTTTGTATTCCTTTTCAGGGAAGATACTGGGAGGGTGTGCTCCGCTAAAATGAGAAAGTAACCCAAGAAAGAGGAACGAGCAGTACAGTGTGCACTTGTCCCTGGTTCTCATTTGGCTCAGCTGCCAAACGGCTCTCTGTATTTCAGCCGGTACTTTACTTCGAGTCTTGGGAGTGGGGAGAGAAAAGAAACACACACCTACTGTGCCAGAGGGACTGAAAAGTACTCACTTCCGAGTCGGTAGCTGGGACCTGTGACCTGGGCTTTGTCTGTGAGATGCAGTGATGTCATGTTTTTGACAGAGAAGAGAGAGGTGATGATGGACTATACCCCTGCAGCAGTGACGGGCTGCAAGGTCAAGTCCTCGATGCAGAAGCAGCAGAGGTATGAACCGATGCCCAGTACCAAGTGGCGGTAGAAGCTGTCTCACCATCAGATGTGTGGAGTCCACATAGTGGACCACAGTTACGTGTCCTTTCTTATCCAACTTTCTGTTTTTCCCGGACTTGACTGTTGCCTCAGCCTTTTATTTGCTTTGTAATCACTCGTCCTTCCTCAAACTCTCCAACGGAACTACTAATCCTTCCTCAAACTCTCCAACGGACCTGTGAACACCTCACAGTGCAGCAAATGTCATACTTGGTCAGCTCCTTCCTGCTTAACCAGTGAGAGGTGGCCTCTTTATTCGCAGCCAAGCACACTGACTGGTGGAGAGATGGTGGAAGGAAAGATGGCAGAGGGAGGTCCCAATACTGTAGCCACGTGGCTGGTTTGAGAGCAGGCAGCCCCACTTGGGGGAGGATGATCGCGGGCCCTGGGGGAGCAGCTTCAAGGAGAAAAATGGAGCTGGCAGGTTATCTGCTGTACCTGCCGCATCCGGAGGAGTTGTGTTGGAGAGTTTGGGGAGGAATTACACATTCAGACACAGAAAACAAGAAAATAAAAAGTGAGGCAACTATTAACTACAGGAATAATAGAAAGTCAAACAAGAAAAGAAAGAAAATCCCAATATACTATGTGGCCTAGCTTTGAACGATATTTACATAGCCATAATAATGTAAGGGCTGATGTTTGATGAACGAACAACGTTTCCATGGCTGCATTCAGAAGCTGGGGGAGGGGATGTGCGTGCAGACATCAGGAAGGCCCTGGCCTGCCTCCTAAGGTAAGAAGTTCAAAGCTGAAAATCCAGAAATATCAGCATCCACCTATAATTTAGAAACGTAGAGATAAATACCCAAAGAACAACTAAAGTTGAAGGTAGTAGTATATTTGCCTGTGGGGGTCAGGAGACTTTTTTTCGCTGCTAGCATTTTAGTTTTAAGTAATTTTAAAAGTCAACCTGGTTGAATAACTTTTATAGATAGTAAAGCTTAAAAGTCCTTATCGTGGCACCCGTGGGCACCCGTGGTGCCGCTGTTTCTGTGTCCTCCGTACTTCCCGAAGTGCACGGCCCACAGGCATGTTGCCGTGACAATGTATGTGCGTGTCGGTGACGCTCCACGAGGGAGTGTTTGCAGTGCCGCACAGTGCATACGGGTGTCCGTGTAGTGACCGCGTTCGCTCTTTAAGTTAACGTGTGGCCAACCCTGGCCGGTGCGGCTCAGTGGGTCAGAGCATCCCCTCATGACCGAAGGGTTGTGGGTTCCATCCCCTACCCAGGCACTGGATTGATGTTTCTCTCTCTCCCTTCCTCTCTCTCTAAAAGCAACGGGAGAAAAAAGGCCCTTGAGTGGCAGTTAATCTGAGCTCATCGACTCAGTTGTCAACTCAGCCGTTTCCTCGTTGCTTTAGGTGTGTCAGTTTCACAAACAATACTGCAATGACTGTCTTGGTGTATGTAGCTGTTCTTTAAACATTTTGAGTAGCTTCTTTATGACTACTCCTTATTGTCCAAATTACCAGACGTGAGACAATGGGTTTCGCTACTGATTTTGGTGTGTCGTGCCGGGGGCTCCACTCAGGTGGGTCACAAACTGAATGTCGGAGGGGAGCTCAGGGACAGACGTTTGGGCAGGGTGGTCGGCCCACTGTTCCCAAGAGCAGCTGCAGTCAGAAATTCCCCCACCACGACCGCCACCCCTTGGTGCCCCCGCCACTGGAGATCCCTTTTCCTTTTTTAATATTCAAACTAAAGTTT